AGAAATACAGTAAATCAGTGCAAAGTCGTAGTCACCATCCCTCTCTCTCTGTCTCTTTTCAAATCTAAACATCACATCGATCTGCCAAACTCCATTTTATTTTTGTTGACCCCCTCTCCCCTCTTTAGTAGCTATCATAGCTTTTTCAATTTTTAGTTTCATTGGTCAGTAGGATGATTGCTTGCTTTACGTAACTTCAATAATTTTTCACTCATATTGGGAAACCACCAGCCGATGGAGGGTTGCAAATTTAGACCTGTAGTCGGCAATAATATGGCAACTGAGCAACATTCTCAGCCCCTATGTAGGTGGGGGGTGCAAACAAGCAGAGCTGCCAATGTACAGCGCTAATGCTTTTACATCCACATAACTAACTTATCTCATGTAACAGGGGGCCATTTTAACCCCTGGGTTGGGAGGATGCACCAGTAGAGTAAAGTTACTTGCCCAAGGTTATGTAAAATGATAACGCAATTTTAGCGATCGACCAGACTTGAACCCGTGAAAACCGGGTCTGACTGCGTCCATGCCAACCACTGTGCCATAACTCCACCCAGGAGTCTGACCCATGGGTCAAGGGGCATAAAATTTGTTAGAGGGTCAAGTGTTTATTATAAACATGTAAAAGTTGTAATGTATTTTCAATGCCAATTTACCTATACGCTGGATTTATTGTAATGCACAAACAGTTTGCTTCCAAATCCCACGAGTACAGATTTTCGAGATATTATATATTTTCAATGTTTGACAAATTGAACCCCTAAATTAATGCCTTAAACATGGACCTATCGTTCATCAATTTTTTTTTTTTTGAATTTATTATATTCAAACATTTTGTGTGCTAGATGTAAATCAATAAAAAAGACTGCTCGATTATAATGCATTTTCAATATATGACCAACTTCGCCCCACTTTCCATTCTGAGCACAGGGGCCATGAATTTCACAAAATTGGTGAAGTGCTAATTGCCTATTATAATCATCAGTTTGCTTGCTAGATGTCCAGGAGTAAAGAAGGTTGTTGAATATTGGATTAATTTTGATGGTTTTGGTTCCATCCCTCAGGCCCGAGAGAGGCAAAGACCGTGACATTCACAGTTTTGTTTCTCTTTACCCATACGTGTACTATAATTGTTTGAAATTGGATCAACTCCTTCCAGACAAAACTTGCAAATGTTCAGAAGTTTATGAACGAATGGTCTAAAAAATGGCATAGATGACCAAAGAGCTACAGATCTATGGAGTATTTTCGATGCTGTTATTTTCAGACCCAGAAGAGCCAATTGTTGAGGGGAATTGATGTAGACAGTAGTAAACGAACATGTTAGGAATACACGCTAAATAAGAATTTGAAATGGCATCTTTAAAAAAAAAAATTTATATATAACGTACTCTACAACCATGCATACTCCTTTTGTGGCCAATAAATAAAAACTTCTGAATGCATAAATCTGTAGCGCTCTGGTCGTCCATCCCTTTTTTTCAGATTAGAGAGCTGGAGTTATACAGCTACAAATGCCAATTCACAGTTATGTGATAAAATTAACGCGTAAATATTAAATAAGATTTACTATATACTTAAAATAGTAGTATCGGGGAGGGAAGGGATCCCACTTTCATACTTCTTTCCAAACTTAATGTTTTACTGTTAATTTAATTTGAAAATGTTCATTGAAATACTGGTTACTGTACCCCCCCCCCCTCCCCACTTTTTATTGTAGCATATAGTGGCAATTCCTGCAATGTTCATGTATTTTCTTGTCGAAAATGTTTGCATACCAACACCCCCACTAAATAGGATTTTCGAGATTGGACGATTACTTTCCCTTTTGTTATTGCTTGTCAAAGATATCAATTAATTTTCTACCCCCCTCCCCCCTCTTCAAAAACGATGTTCGATGTTACTTGCGCCTGTAAACATTTTAAATACATGTTTACGGTATTTCTCTCCAAATGAACAGGAAAGATATACATATATTTTATATTCATTTATATATCATTATATTCATTTATTTGCATATTATACAAAAATGGGTTATTTATATACATGGGTTTATTATACACGTATACTAACATACATACACGTGTACTTCGTCTTACATAATGAGGTATCTAGCTAGTAGACGACAAGATATTCATCTTCTAGATCGCCCCCCCCCCCAAAAAAAAATAAAATAAAATATTTAAAAAAAAAAAAACTAAATAGACCAAACTCAAATATCCTATTTCGTGGGGCTGTGGTAATGGGTTTGGTGAGTTGGACCTTTCTCTAACATTTTTGTACATTTTTTTCAAATTTGAAATTTAGAAAAAGTGGTGATAGTGGTGGTGGTGGAACAAGCATCTAAATGAAAATTTACATATTAAATTACAGCAAAAGAACCCCTCCCCCCGCGTTCTGCGGCCTGAATTCTTTCTATCTTTTCCCCTAGCTTCGATTACCACATGAAAAAAAGACGTATTTCATTATCTGCAGTAGTAAAAAAATATTAACTCTTTCTCAACGGTAATTCATTAGTATACATATATATTCGCCGATTATTTATGTAAACGTGTAGACGAAATGATATGAATACCTGTACAATATATACATTATTCGGCCCACATACAGGTGGTTGTACATTTTCACTTTATTAGTTTCTCCCCCCCCCCCCCCAATGTTTTAAAATAGTTAAATAAAGTTCATTTCAAATCAAAGCTTTTTCAAATTGAATTCATATTCGCAAAAAATGCTTAGATAAAAAAAATTAATGAATTTAAAAAAAAACCACTAAGTTATAAATATTAGATAAATGAAAATATCTCTGCATTTTTCATTGTTCTCATGTTCTGACTTTTTGACGATAAATTAAGAATAACTATTTCCTTTAAAAAGAAATTGTCGTGGAAATATCGAACCTTTTTGAATTTTGAAATACTTCAGGAATTTATATGATACTTTTCTATCTACATATGAATACCACTGCATTATAATTTGTCATATGTTCATAAAACTAATTTTAAAAAAAGATCTTCCATTATCATTACAATCTTTTAAAATAATTAAGTACATGTACATGTAAATGTATAGTATTGAGGAGAAAAAAAAAATACGGGAACATATGAAATACATTTAGGTCATAACCGTTAAATCTCTTTTGGTGGTTTGTCTGGTAAAAGGAATTTATTTCACACACTGTGGGTAAATCAAATACCTGAATATTCATAGGTATTCAAATAAAAACACCTTTCCTTTCGACATATTATGCAAATGAAATAGGTGTTCAACACTCGCTGACCTTATGACAGAGCGTAAAGAAATACATATTTAGTGTTAAACTCGTGTAAGAAAAACTTCTTTAAAAAATACGTTTAACAGAAACAAGCTATATATATATATATATATATATATATATATATATATATATATATATATATATATATATATATATATATATATATATATATATATATATATATATATATATATATATATATATATATATATATATATATATAGAATTAGTTACTCCTATAAGGGAAAAATAAGGGATATTTGAACTTGCAGTACTAAGAGACCAACCGAAAATGAGGTCATTTACCCATAATATAAGTTGGAGTTGCAAGTCTATCCGGCCGTTGATAAGAAAAGTCTTGAAAGGCAATCGAGTGGCAACAGCAATTATCATAAAATACAATTTCAATTTATACTCCAAAATATGTCTGTCATTTGCAAATCCAGGATTTGAATGAATACGTAAGAGTGTATTATGATTCTCTTTGTAATCTTAAAATATGGTAAGTAAAATATGGTAAGAAAATGTACCTGAAACATATTCAACAGACTTATCTTGACAGGTTTAACTGTAGACCTATATAGCAGCACAATTGTTAAAACTGGATACAGTAAAACACGCTTATAACGAGGTGCTGGGGACGGATTGGTATAAACATAATTCGTTAGTTATATCCGTTAAGTTCACAATATATTTCAAAGCCACCGGGAATGAAAATTATCCCTTCGCTGTAAGCGTCAATTCATTATAAGCGTGTTCTACTGCATCTCGAAATTTGTCCTTGCTGAGGATTTATTATTTCTCTATCGCTTTTGCATTAAAAGTATCTATTTTTGTAGGGTAAAGGGTGAGGTGGGGGTTGAATCATGTTATCTTATTTTTTTTTTTTCAAATGCCAAAAGCTTTTCATGTCAATGCTTATATTTTGATCCATGGAAGAGGTTCAGAAAAATGGATCCCTCTCATCTTACGTCGACACATCAATGTTTAACGTTGCTCAGAAAAGCTTTGGGCATCCCTTTGGGGAGACTGATGTAGAGTACAATAGATACAATTCAATAGATAAATAAAATAATGCATTCGTTGTAAATGAAATAGCATTTGCAGATTGTTACTAATATAAAAAAAAAATACTGCACAGATGACAAAATTTGACGACTTTCTCTCCTATGTTGTATGGGGGTCGGTGGTGAGGATGGGATGGGGGTGGTGGTGTACAAAGAGGAACTCTCCTGAGTCCAACATAATTATAAGAAGTATCATGCAGAAAAAGTTTACGATTTCTTCATTTAAAATTGATTAAATTGAAAAAAAGAGTATTTTATAAGTTAAAAATACATATTTTATAACAATAATTACTATTATCTAGTAAGTACAGTTATAATGACGCATCAATCATTAAAATGAGAAATCAAAACAATTTTTCTCGATTTAGAATATGATTCTTGAACATGCAGTGTCGTACAAATTATGTAGTCAAAAATAAATATCGAAGAATGCAATTTTGTGAGTTATATAAAACATACCAAGATTTTGTGATAGGGGGACTTCATTCGCCAATCACATTGATAAATAGCAAGGTTTAGACGTGTGCTTGTTTTCCGCAGTATTACTTTGTGCCTTGAGCGGTTGAACAAGAGTCGGGCCTATCTGACTTCGGGTGCGTTGTTTCACATTATTGGACGGTTTGGTTAACGCATCTAAATATATATAAAGGTCCGAATCTACTCTTAACAGTCAGAGGGCAAGCTGTGACGGGGGATGATCACAGCTGCATGGTATGCATTTCATTTCTATTGCTATGGATTAGTCCAACTATAATACTATAGCGGAAATATTCGTTTTCTTATTTTCGTTTTTATTTCTTTGTCAGTCAAATGCTGACTGACGTTTTTCATACTAATTGTTAGGCCATTATTTAAACACTGACAATGAGCACACGGCGGGTGTGACCGGTCGACAGGGGATGCTTACTCCTCCGTGGCACCTGATCCCACCTCTGATGTTTTTGGAGGCCCATGTGTGCTCTGCTCCCGATTTGTATTGTTTCAATGGACTTTTGAGCTTGATTACTGTTCGTTATCTCCATATTTCATGATAAATGTTTCAATTTATTATCAAATATATAATATACTATATAGATATAAACCGAAATCTTTCCTCGTAAGTGCATAACCATTTAAAAAAATTAAACATTGTTTTAGGGCCATTGCATATTTTATATAGTGCAATATACTTATGTTTGTTTTTTAACTGGTTGTACCTAAACCTCGATAGAGGTTAAAACTACAGTTACTTTATGGAATATACCTTTATATAAGCTTTTGCGTTTTCTCTCTCCTCACGGAAAGCAGCATGAGGTTTCTTATAATATTGGCTGCGGCCCTAGCGGTGGTTAGGGCCGGATCTTATGGAGGGGGATACGGACATAAGGGGCATGGTGGTGTACACCATTATGATGTTCCTGTCGGAGCTGGTATAGGAGGAGGATATGCCGGAGTCAGTCTCGGAGGAGGCGGATTCGGAGCCGGTATAGGAGGAGGCTATGTCGGAACTGGAATCGGAACAGGCATTGGAGCCGGAATCGGAACTGGTCTTGGAGCCGGTGTCGGAGGAGGCTATGTCGGTGGTGTCGGACAGGATATTGGAGTCGTAGAAGATGTATATCTTGGAGGGACTGCCGGAGGTCTCGGTGGTGGCGCTGGTTTGGTAGGTGATGTCGACGTCTATACCGGAGTCGATGGCAGAGGACTTTATGATACAGAAATTTATGACACTGGTATCGGAGGCTATGACGTTGGACTTGATTATTATGGTGACGTTGGTGGATATGGTGGATATGGTGGTGGCGAGGTCACGGTTCTCACTAGAGGTATACAGTATAATCAATGCCATATAACTTAGATGAAATGATTACAGTAAAACTCGATTGTAACGAAATTACTTTAATATATGTCATTCGTTATATCCAAAGAAGAAATTCATAAAATTTATATAGCTGGGGAACCAAGAAAACTTCTTTATATCCATGAATTCGCAATATCCTTAATAGTACTAAACGTTTTACTGTATTATGACAATTCAATACCGGTATGCCATTCATCAGAAAATATATGAACATATATATACACCCTCTTCTCTCTCGCTCTCTCACAGATCAAAATGTTGAAATCCCCTATGATTAGCTGATTAGCTATTTTAAACGAAACAAAAAAAAAACAATCAGTATTATGTATTTTAGATAGGTCTAACTTCTTTCAGTTGTAAAAGGTTATCAATGATAAATTTTAACTCGGGATTCTAATTATTTCATTCTAGAATTACAATGTAAGTACAGCCAAAAAGAATGTGATTTTGAAAACATAAAACAAATACAGTATGCCATTTCAGATCTGAGTCATCTGTTTCATTCAGCCTTTCGATAATTACTGACGTAGAATTCAAAATGACACAAATTGCAGCTTAAGTACAATGTACATGCAATTCATCTGTACAGATCTACACTCTAATAAATAAATTTCAGGTTAATTCGATTGATATATATAACAAATATTTGACAAATATGTTATGTTTTAAATGTATTAATTAGAATGAGTTACACTTAATTGTATACAATTACAGTAAAGAACTACAATCCCTACTTTCGTTGTAAGCGGGGGTGGGTGGGGGGGGGGGCATTGATTTGGGTCGGTATGTCCTTCTGTCTGTCTGTAACATCTTAATTTCAGAATGATATTTCTAAAAAGTCCTCTAGCTTCTGTATTGAAATTTTCTATAGCATAACTCTCTAACTCAAAGAATACATCTATCGATTTTGAGGGCAAAAGGTCAAGTTACAAATTTATACGGTATGAAATGATTTCCATATTCACTTCAATACCGTTTTAACTAAAACATTTAAGGTCAAGATCTAGTAAATGAAAGATGCCTACAATTTTTTCAAATTTGAGAAACGAGTTCTTTTAATGATCCTTTACAAATATGGCTTGCAAAAATAGGGTGTTTCGGGACAGAATTTTTTGATAAACTAGACGAAAAAACATATTTTAAACTGTAATCTTTAATGAAAAACGAAGAAAGTCAGGTATAAATTTAGGAGTTTTTTTCCATCTCAGATAAAAGAAATGTATCAATATTGCCTACAGTTTCTCAGAAAACGGTTTTTCATTTCTTCTTAACCTCTATTTTAAAATGGTATTAAATTGAATATAGATATCGGGGTTACTTTTGACATGATTTCAAATTGAATACATTGAAAATCCTTCATTTGCTACACAATTCTTTTACAGCCATAAAGTGCGGGAAAAATTAAGCTTAAAACAATTATGACGTCATAATGGATCTAGCACCAAAAAGACAGTCTAAAGTCATTTACTAGATCTTGACCTTAACTAAAACATCACCTCTTCGGCCTTCCATCCACTTAACTCTTCTTCTTCTTATTATTATTATTTATTAAGCGGGGGACATGAATTAGATTGTAATTCATCTTTTTGCAATTTCTACTATGATTATATCTTCCTTGTCGTTCCTTCTTCCTTTCTTTTTGTTATTTACATATTTACTTTCTATTTATGTATCTTCTTTTGTCATTCATACTTCATTTCTGTTTTTGTCACCCCCTACATTCTATTTTTGTTGTATATCTACTTTATATTCTTTACATCTTTTTGTGGTCATTCCAGCTTTCTTTTTAAATCCTGTCATCTCGTCTCGATTTCTTTAATTCGATTTTTTTATGGTAAAAAAAAACTATTTTGGGTTTTTCATAGTTTTTTAAAACATGTTTTCAAATCCTGTTTGTATTATTTATTTTATATACATATATGTATTCAAACAAACTTTTAAACGATAAAGCATCATTAAATATAGGGGGAGGGGGGTCAACAAATGAAATAAACATAACCTTTTTAAGTAATTTCAAGAGCTTTGGATTGGAATCGTCTTATTTATTTATTCATTAATTTTTTTTATTGTTCTGTGTAGCTAACCGAGGAATATTTGAACCCATCTTGAGCAGAATAACGGGACCCAGGTATGAGCTTGAAAGAGGCGTCGTTCTTAATGGAGGTATGTATATAATCAACTCCCTTTTCTTAGAGAAATTTTGCTTTAAGTTTTGAGAAATTTTTCTCAATATGTAAATGTAAAACGTAGCTAATTTAAAGATCTAAGACTCTATACAAGCAGGAGGTAAGTAAGAATATTAAACATATCACAGGCCGTGCTTGATGCTTCCGGGAGAAGAATTCCCAAAACTGAACAGTGTATCACAAATGATACAAAATCTGCTAGTGATTTCATGTAAAAAGAAACATGATTACAGGACAACGAAACCTCCATTAACGGTTTATGTAGCTTTTTCTTTAAATTTGTATTTGAATTTTTACTTAAAAATCATGAAAATAGATGGCGTCACAATCCATAAAAAATGCAATTATGTATCATTATGTGAATGTAGATAATGGTTCAAATGATGACTGAATGATAAATTTATCATTAATAGATACAAAAAAAGTCCACTGTCATAAGTGGATGCAGAATAGTGCATTTTGTATCATTAGTGCTTACATGTACCTTAATGCACTTGTATCAACTTGCCCATGTCGTAGCAGAAAAATTTCGTCTTACTATCAAAACAGTCGCTGCTATTCTAATTTTGTTATTAATGACTTTAATTCTGAAAATTGTTTTCATTAGCATATGTTTCCTCATTCTTTTTTTTACCTTAACCTACCTGTTCATTGGGTAGCAAAGCTACATTTATAGGAGATATCTGAAGTGCTATTAGCTATTCCATCCTCTGTTTCAGGATACGGTGGCGTAGGTTTTGGAGGCTCCTATGGACCTGAAATCATTAGTGATGTTGAATACACCGTTGGTGATGGTGGCTATTACCAAGGAGTAGGAGGAGGAATAGCACTTGGGGGCGGCGGTGGTTATTTAGTAGACGGAGGTTACGGTGGAGCAGTGGTTGGGGGCCCAGTTGTTGGAGGTTACGGTGGAGCAGTGGTGGGGGGCCCAGTTGTTGGGGGTTACGGTGGAGTGGTAGGAGGCCCAGTTGTTGGAGGTGCTGTAATCGGCGGGGGCTATCCAGTAGCAGGTGGTGGCGTAGTCGGCGGGGGCTATCCAGTAGTAGGTGGTGTAGTAGGTGGTGGCGTAGTCGGCGGGGGCTATCCAGTCGGCGGTGTAGTAGGTGGTGGCCCAGTGATAGTTGGTGGTGCACCAGGATATGCACCAGCCGGTGCTGCACTTGGTGCTGCAGTCGGTGGCACTGTTGGTGGTGCTCTTAACACTGTAGGAAATGTTGCAGCTGGTGCCGTCAATACAGTGGGTAATGTTGCTGGTGCTGCTCTCGATGGCACCGTCAACTTTGCCAATAACGTGGCGGGCGGATTACAGGCAGGTCTGCAAGGAAAATAAGGTAATTAAGTAAATATTTTTCTTACACACCCTTCTCATTGAATTACAAAACCTAAAATAAACTAAAATGCAAAATTTAGTGCAATTTGAAGAAGAAAATTTATGATTAATATTGATTTTTTTTTTTTTTTTAGTTTTCAGATCTCCTACCCTTGTGAATCAAAACTCACAAAAATGACTTGGACTTTCTATTCGACTTTCCTCGACGTTTTTCCCTTTTCCTATTATACATCCATCTGTGATTACGGGCAGTCAATACTATAATAAACTTTTTTTTAATAAAAAAGGGGGTTTATAGTTGTCTTTTAACACGGGAATTTATTCTTTATTTAGCTATTTAATTTTTCACATATGGTGGTTGTATACAAGAATATTTTACTGTTGCGTAAAAAATATACATATATCTACCAAATGTTTCTATTTCATAACATGCATTTTTTGAGCTTAAACTTTGATACATGATTTTAAAAAGGGTGGTTTCTCAATGAAGCGGCACAAGATATACTCGAATCGGTATACTCTGTAATTTATTATATATGGCATCTTCAATATGATCTTGTGTACAAAGAACGTTTACTAGTCCTTTGTTTCCTTAATTTGTTAAAGGGGCTCGATCTTCTTTTACAGAACGATAACTCTGGGTAGATAGTACATAATATACAGTTACTTTTTTTATGTCAGTACAATGATTAAGCTACCCGAGGAGTACAATATTTACCGAGCCCAAAGGGTGAGGTGTGCATTGTATGTTGAGGGTTGCTAATCATCGTATTGACTGAACACCCACCCCCACCCCCCATCCGGCAACAATTGTTTTATTGATACAAAGATACGAACTCGTTAAGCAAACCTTGCCATCTTTCTTTATTATTTACATTTGTCGAAGTCTTACAGCCAAGAATTACATAGGGGGAGTTAAAATAAACATAACCAGTTGTATTAATTTGAAATTTCTTTGATCTTTTTTTTTGGTCAGATGTAGAAAAAAATTAGTTATGTTCACCTGTAAGTCAGGAATATCCCACATTACTGTATTACACAAATTATTTCACCTGATAGGATCTCATTTTTTTCAGTAACTACCCCCCCCCCCACCCCCCAATGAAAATGAATGTTTAATTAAAAAAAAAAGTTTGATATCCATCAAAGTAATTTACAACGACATTATCACAAATAGTTTACAATAATGAACGCATCTTTCAAGAAATGCTTGAACTTCATATTATGTAATCCAACCATTGGGCATTTGGTGGGAGGGGGATACGACCCTCTCTAAATTTGCCATGCAGTGTGTTTATAGCTAACATGTTAACTGGAAAGCTGTCATGAGGGTTTTTGAATTAAACATTCAGTTTTAAAAGTTTTATTATTTATTTAAAAAAATAAGAAAGCCATATCTCGTACTGTTCCGCAAATTACCCACACGGGTATATTGGTATTTTTCTTATCGATATCAAAAGTCAAATATAGTATCCAATAAAAATTCAGGCTTATGCCGGATATTTCAGTGATGGGTAAATTCTACTTCATATTTTTTTTCTCTTTAGACATGGCTTCTAATATCTTCCTTGTCTCTTTATTATTGTTTTTCTTAATTAAATAGACGGTATATCATTTTAAGGTCTGACGACACCTACGTTCCTCAAATATCTTTTTTGTATCTCTCGTAATGTGTGAAAAATTATTTATAATTGTCATTCTCTTGTGATTTCTAAACTGATTTCAAAATGTCTTGAAAAATAAGTACACCAAATTGTGTTTTGGCAGGTTTATATAGGAAACACCATTCTCTGTTATCTTGCACAAAATTGCCTGGTAAGGTACCTTAATTTTCACTGAGGAAACTCGTTAAAGAAGCAATACTTCTATGACAAATTCTTGAAGAAATTTATATATTCTTGAGGAACGTGTCATTTGACGCTAACGGCACCAGAGAATACCATTCTGGCAAAGCGCGGCAACTCTCTTACTATATCTGTAGACTTGCAAGTTAGTATTTTCTTGAGCACCGTACTCAAGCTCTTGACGGTAAATTTGGATAGCAATCCATTTTATATCAATAATAAATACATAACAATCATTCATTTTAGTTTACATATTAACTACAGATGTCACAGCAGATGAAAAACCTACACGACACAATAATGTATAATTAGAACTTTTAAGGCATTTTGTTTTATGGATCTCTTTACGTCACTGTGGATTAATTAAAGCGAAAATTGATGCTAAGATTTTTCATGACTGAATATTGTATTATGCTAAAGCAACATTTTATAATCCTTTTTATTCTCCCCATCAAGGTACCCCACAACTGGTTCCCTTACAGTTCCGACCCATTTCGTTCCGCAAAGTACCTAATATATGTATTTTTATTATACATCTACTGATTTCCCCCCTATGTAACATTAGATAGTTAGATGTGACTAATTCCCTAGAAATCGTCATGAATAGATTAATCCCTGTGCGTTAGTCAAGTGAGCTAATCCCTGCTTCGAAAACTAATTCCCGGTTATCCGTAATCCTCTAGATTTTACTTCTACATTGGTATGATATGTGAATGGACTAATCCCCGTGTGTTAGTTCATTGAGCTAATTCCTGCTTTGAAATAACGCTATCTGAGTCCTCTAAATTTCACGTTTGTATCGGTATAATAAAACAGTTAAAAGCATATCATTGCGGGAGTTAGCAAGATTCCAGTTCCCCTCGACCAGGACTATTTCCCTCGGCTTCGCCTCGGGAAATAGTTCTGGCCCTGGGGAACTGGAATCTTGGTAACTCCCTCAATGATATACTTTAACTGTATAATAACCACTGAATAGGAATTTATTAATGTTCTCGTAATTGGTTATAAAAATAATTTAATTAGGTAAATTGTGGTTGGCACAGTCTGCATTCTGCATCTTGCCAAAATTTCCTTAGTGTGCATGTATGCCACCGTAATCGAAGATTCGGGGAAATATTGTTTTTGTTCTATTCTTCCAGCTGTCCGTCTGTTTGTCCATAAAAACTTTAACCTTGTCCATAACTTTTGATTGGTTAGAGCTGACTTTCATATTTCACATATGTAACCCTTGTGACAAGATCTATCTTTGGGTAACAACATATCTGACCTCTTGACCTTGCCCCACTTCTGAAATTTTTTACCAAACTTTAATCTTGGTCATCTTTAAAATGGTTCATGATTAAGGGCTTTTATACTTCATATGTGTATTCCTTGAGATAAGACCTTTTATCGGATACAAATATTTTTTTTTAGCTTGACCTTTGAATTTGACCTACTTTTGAAAAACTTTATCCTTTGCCATTACTTTTGAACACTTGGTGCTAGAGCTTTCATTATTTCACAGATGTATTCCTTGTGACAATATTTTTCTTTGGGTACCAATATTTTTTATCTCTTTACCTTGACCTTGCAGTTTGACTTGCGTTAAAAGAAACTTTAACCTTCGCCATGAGCTGCTATATACTGGGCATCAGTGTTTCACAAACACATCTTGTTTGGTTCATGTTGTAACGTAACTCATACTGCTGCAAAATTCATATAAACAAATTAAAAAATATATTCCTATCTTTCAACAAATAAAAAGTAAATCGTAAAACATGATCGTTTCTTTTCAGGTTTGATGCAGGTCAATTCTTAAAATATTATTTTGAAGACCGCTCTCTTTCCAAGAAAAGTGACTAATGTACACTGAAAAATCGTTAAAAAAAAAAAAATAGGCTAACTTCTGCATCCTAGGAGAATCCACCTCAAAGTCAATAGATTCTTTCTTATACAAACCTGTTCATAAAATTTGAGATCCAAAAAAAAAAAACCAAAACATTTTTAAAAGTAATGTTCCAAAATTTTATTCAAATCTTTGAAAATATCCAATAAAAATGAACATAAGGTTAAATGTATTTTTGGATACAAGTTCAATGATGTCTAGTGATAAAATCTCTAAAAAAGACTGTGATACCGTACAATGGGATTTCAAATAAGAAAACATTCTTAGCAAAATAAAACAACAAAACATTTTTTTTAATATCAAAACAAAAAGTGGCAGAAAAATTCGTATATTTTGATTAAAATATGAACATGCACATATAACATATAAATATGTGAATATGACAAAACAAATGAAGAAATTAAAAAAATACTTCTGGTTGTGGTCAAATTTCTTCCTGAACAAGGTTCTTGAAATATATTTAACAGAAAATCAGAGCCAATCAATTTTCGTTCATTTTACACTGAGGAATGTATAAAGAGCAGGCTCCATGTTCCCAGACCTCCATATTGGTCATTGCTTTTGTGGTAATGGCAAGTGTTTCCATATCTATCGTCTGCACTGATTGTGCCTTCCGTTGGTAGTTTCCGTTGATCCATCCGCCAACAATATGCAATTTGTTGTTCAGTATCGTGTGTGAGGCATATAAACGAGGATCAGGGAGGGTGATTAGAGTTTCCCAACTGTCCGTCACGTGGTTATAGCGATCCAAATCAGCGACCATGATTCGCTGTTGATTTGGATTTTCATGCCATCCCCCCACCACGTAAACATGTCCCTGATAAATGAACATGGCGTGGTCTGCTCTCGGTGTTAGCATGGGAGCCAATTCAGTCCAGTTGTCGGATGCAGCATCATATTTGAAGAAACTGGTGTAAAACTCTTCATCGGCGTCCTGAAGACCACCGGAAATATACAATGCATCTTCAAACACCACTCCTGCATGTTGGGCGCGATTTCCAGGCAGAGGAGAAATGGTTGTCCATTTGTTTTCCTCTGGATGAAAACATTCACATGGGGCAGAGTCTAAAGATACATCAATGCTTGCTGAAGGATCTCCTCCTATAGCATACAATTTCCCGCCAAGAGCACCAAGATAAAATCGACACCTCTCCAGATTCATGGGTGCAATGCTTTTCCAAGTGTCTTTTTCAGGATTATATCTGAATCCATATTGATGTACAACTTCCTGAATTTGGTCATTGAAGCAACCTCCAACAACAAATACTTCACTGTTTAATACTGTTAAGCCAAAATTGCACTGTTTGATGTGTGGAATGGTTGTAAAAGTTTTCCAAGAGGTAGATTCTGGACTGTAAAAACGAAGGTCATTGGTCATTCCACCATTGGGACTAAATCCACCAACACAAATTAAAGCTTTTGTGAACCCTCTATTATTAGCCAGCCCTGAATCTTGTAAACCAGCACTGAAATCATGGCAAGAATCATAGAAATAGCTCTGAAAGTTTGGATGTGAACCAAGTAAATGGTCAAATTCAATTTTATTTGGCATAGTACATAAATTTGATTTCAAAATGTTTTCTACTTGTATAAGTTTCAGCAATGGCAAGAAGTGTTGCTGTCTTGAGTTTATATCATACATGGTCCAGCTGATTACCGTGGACAGCACATCTGTTTCAGAACAGTTCATGGGAAAATTACTCTTCAGCACACTTGAGAACTGGTCTGCAGTCATCTTGGTGCAGAAATCAGGTGTGACAGATACTTTGGTCCAGTTGGAACACATGAACTTAAGTACATTGGATTTCAGTTTTCTAATACACAACAAATTTGTTAACCTGAGCATGTCAATACAATTCTCAATGCTGAGGTGTTGTTTGAGGAAGTCTGAGCAGGCTTGAAGGACTGGCAACATCTGGACATGATTGGCTGACAAAAGAATGTCCTCTACATTGTCTACAAAACATTAAACAGAATAGTACATTTATTGCAACAACCTTTTAAAATGTTGGGAAAAAAATTTCATTTTCAAAATATAAATTTTCATAAATATTCATTTGATAAAAGAGCAAAACCTTATCTGTAAGAAAAAAAAAAAATACACGTAATGCACATAATATGCGTAATGTACCTACCAAAGTCCAATAATAATTTGGATGAATATGCAAAATCAATGAGATTTTTCATTCCATTTGCTGTGACTCCATTCAATGGTATGGTCTCTCTTTGACACTCAACTAGCCCATCAGTAAACATTGCCCTGTGAATGAATTAAAATATATGCAAAGGGAAATAACTCTCAGAAGATTGCCTGAGACCCAGTCTCTAAATGGCTCTCATTTTGTGCTTGTCAAATAATTTTATGGACAGAAAAAAATTCCTTATAAATGTAAATCAATTATTATTTATGACAACCTTCATTTGCAATTCAAATCCATCTACTTTTTTTGCAACTGAGGAAACATTATACAAATTGGGGCAAGAAATATTTGTGAGTAAAAGGTCATAAAGCTGGTTGCAGGAGAGAAAAATTGTTTTACTAACAGTACACTGATCTTTTCCTTTCCACATGTATAACCATATCCTACCTGAAGTAGTCACTACAAGAAGCCAGCACCACTCTGTGTGCCTGGAATGTCTGACCCTCCACAAGAAAAGTGACATCAAACAATTGTTGTTTTTCTCTGAGATGCTTCAGACCGGCCAGGACGCTGTCTCCATGGTCAGCGGCCTCGAAGCTGACCTGCTGGTCATCAGAGGAAGCTTGATTCGCTCGTCCCATGGTTGCTGCACTTGTACGTAGCACCACAGCCCTGAAAGTGTTAAAACAAAAAGATTAATAAAAAAATTATTTTGATAATGAGGTAAAAATATAAAATGATATCTTCTATTTCATTAAATCAAATGTCCTGTTCAGATGTCAAATTGCTCCAAAGAAATTTATTAAAAACAGCAACTCTAAGCCCTGCAGAAACAAATCCCAAACATGTTTCATGTCACCATGCAGTATGCAGTCATTCAATGACAAAAAAATCAGATAATAATCACAAAAAGGGAAGGGGGGCAGTGTTTTCCCTAAGAAATAGCTACCGGCCGAATTGAACCCTTTAGTTCATAAAAAATGCTGCTTTGAAATTTAAAAAAAAGAATCAAAATTTATTTGTAGTAAGGTTCACAGAGATTTGTCATAAACTTCAACCCAAAGTCTGTTACAATTAATCTTCAACCCTTAAAGGCTTTATGCCTTTACTTTGAAATAAAGGAAAAACATGGGGGGGGGGATGAATCTTGAAACTATTTCACTAAATCTTTAACCCAGTGAAAGTTGTCTCTCTTATCATAGTATCAATGATACAGTGTATGTATTGATCTCTCCCTTTTTAAAAAGAAAAACTAAGCAAAATTATAATCATGAAAATGGTCTTCTTTCAATTTTATTAATTTTAAAGAATCCAAGAAAAATACCTGAGATATCAGTGACAATAATATATAGTAAGTTATGGAATGGGTATGAAGAAAATAGCAAATTTATGGTCTCCCAAGGGAGAAAACTATTTCTAAACACACACGCACACATGATCCTTATATATAACTTAATCTGAATACTATCTAGAAAAAAAAAAATTGTCCAATTTATCAAAAGTTAAAATTGAAAATTTAAAAAGATTTGAAATACAGATTTAAAAAAAAAATTCTACATACATTCTCAGTTCTTTTGCAGACACAATACTAATCCTTCCTGCATAACATTACAGAACAGTTAAAGCATCAAGCATTAGACCTAACCAAAATGTTTCCTGGCCATGTTTTAATACAGATAAACAAAAAAGTGTGAAAAACCTTCCCTGCTGTATACCATGTATACATGTACCTGTATTTACTACAACACTTTTATTGCCCCTGGACAAAGAACTGTATGAGAATAGGAAAGGAAGGATTATACTGGTAAACCTGATAACATCAATACTTGGATATATGTACTTAACCAGATGGATTCATAATGATTACTTTATGTGTCTACTAAATAGCCTCAGGTTATATAACCTGACAGATAACAATAGCCAGACTGTTTTCACACTTCTATTTCCTTATCAGCCAGTGACTAATGGTTTAACAAAAACTTGTGGTATACCTGAACTATACCTGTACCCTTATCATTTTCTCTTTAGCCTTTTCTGTTTTGTTTTGAAATTAGCAGTGTTTTAGCATTTTGACCAAGAGTGTTTATCAAATACACATATATTATATATAGCAGACCCATAGGAAGGATTTTTCAATTTCAGTTTGGAGGGGGGAGGGAGGGGCACAACCTAATATCTCCAGTTTACCAATTAAAACCAAAAAAAAAAAAATTCAACAGACGTAATTATTGAAGGGGGTACATCTAAAAAGTAGCTTTATTTTCTATAGTATACCATGGCCATAATATTGGCAAAATTATTGAGGGGGCACCCCCCCCTCCCCTGTGCCTCCCTGGTTCCTATGGCCATGCACAGTAATTAAATCAGAAGAATTGGGGGATATATACATTTGAGCTGAGCACATAGTATCGTATAAATCAGAGATGTATAATAGTGTCTCTTATACGTCTCTGTATAAATTTAGTATGAAATGATGCGCAGCACTTTTTTTATGCATGCAGTATAATATTTATTACCATGGTGTCATATCATACCTTATACATATAACATATAATATCTCTAATGGGATATAGATTTACAGGATAAAAATATGAAATGTATTTAGCTTGAAATAATTGTAAATCCTCGTAAAAAAGCAATTTAACATTTGGTAAACAAGTATTTCTGTTTCCCTCCTGTTTGGGGCAATAATCCAAAAGAAGAACCAAAACGTTTGAGGATTAATCTCACATATGTAAAATCCTTGGGTAAAAAAAACACTTTCTATTAGCGTATAAAGGGCCCTTAAGTCATAAAATAATTTTATACAGTATACATTATCATGAATATGTCCATTGGGTCCAAAAAATATTTTTTTTTCAGCCATCAAATTCAAAAATCTACTTACCTGGTTTACCTTTCAAGTTTATTTCAATAACAGGACAATGGTCCCTTTGTGGCTCATTTCTCCTGTTGTTATTTACATCAAGCAAGTGCAAGGCTTACTCATTCTCCAAAAATAATCCATAGTTTGCACGACATAACAAAGACATTGTTTACTTCCGGTTTTTCATCTGAAAGGAGAGTCTAAAATACGAAAAGTATGCTGGATAAGTCTGATAAATATGGAAAGTCAATAAAATCAATTAGTACCCGCCTTTTCATAGTAAAATTTGAAATAACATCACAATTTTACAAATTATAATGTTGAAAAAAGTTACAAACATGACAAAAGTTGGTTAACTATTTTATTTTTCTGTTGTTGTTGTAAAATGGTAATATGGGGATTTTTTTTTGTCTGTAGGTATTTAATAAATCCGCATAAAGTTAACCAAAAGCTAACTTAATTATTGAATATTTTGATACGGATTAATAGTTTTCATAGTTTTATAGCTAAGTGAAAAATCTTAATTTTTTGCACTGTAAAAAAGATGGGCGAACAAGGCGAGCAAAATGCCTTTTAAGTGTGACAAAATTAAATTTCAGTTATGTCAGACAAAATTTTTCTTTGATATTTTATTTAACATTAACGTATGCTTTATGTAAAATCTCCATAATTTGCAGGAATCTCACAAAAATTGATGAAATCCTTCGTCTATGAATTAGTATATACACACCAAAGAGTGCAAAAATGATCAATTTTTCATACTGTATATCTCAATTTTCCCATAATAGTGGGTGTTCGCTACATTTTTTTTTTTGACAAGATAATATTCAAAGTATGCTTAAAACCATTTAGATTACGGTTACCCAAAACATGGAGCAAAGACCCACTATACCTAAAAATATAAAGTTTTATGACACAACATTCATAATTTTCCGAGAAATATTTGAAGTCATTTAGTCAAGGCTCATTTCATGCTCAAATGCGATTTAAATGCCGGTTATTGTCACGAGCTGTGTAGCGGAGTGGTTAGTGTCTTAGTCTCAACAAAAAAGTGATACTCAGGATTCTTATTGCTCAGGTTCGAACCCCAAGAATACACATAATTTTCACATCATGTGATGATTTTTGCTGAAAGAATTTTCCGCAGTTTTTGTTTGCCAAAATCTCATATCTTTGATAATAAAAACTTTACTCTAAATGCTAAATTCACAAATTGAATATGACTTTTATACATATGAAGCTATTGACATTTGCACACCTTGTTCGCCCATCTCCTAAAAATCCCATTTGGGATATCATATCCAAAACGGGCTATCATATCCCATGTGGATGATTGGTCCTAAGTGCAACTTGTTAGGGGACGACCATTTGAATTTAGGAGGGGAGAGGGGTTGGGAACATTTTTCGAGATAGTTTATTAGTCCCCTACCGGTGAATGAAACCGGAGGGGACTATAGGTTTCCTCTGAGTCTGTCCGTCCGTCCGTCTGTCTGTCTGTCTAGCTGTCCCTCTGTCTGTCTGTCAGTCAGTCTGTCCCACTTGTTTTTCCACACTTTTTTCCTAAACGCTTGCAGATATTGAGCTGATTTTTGGTATGTGAGTGTATCTTGAAGAGTTACAGATCAAGTTTGCATTTCGTTCCGCTTCATTGATTTTTGACGGAATTACGGCCTTTTCAATTTTTAAGGGTTTTCCGCAATTTTCTTCTGAATGCTTTCAGATATTGAGCTGATTTTTGGTATGTGACTTAGCCTTGAATAGTTATAGATCAGGTTTGCATTTCGTCCCGCTTCATTGATTTTGACGGAATTATGGCAGGTATTTAATGCACTCTGAATCAAACTGAACCCAAACCACCCCACAGGCAATTTCCTATACGCATATTTACAATCGCGGAAATACCTCCTTACCATTTAAAGACGGGTCATTATTTCGGGGGGGGGGGGGGGGGAGTCAATTTTTCGTTATTTTTAAACAGAATTTAATAACTCTGAAAATTCCAAAAGGGGAAGGGGATGGTGTCTGAAACCCCCACCCCACCCCCTGTAGATCCGCCCTTGAATATGCTTATTGTGTCTTGATGGAAGTAATTTTCTCCTGACCTTCAATAAGAATAGAACAGCTAAAAAATTCAATCACAGAAATTCAACAGCAATTAGCCAACCACAACATATTTCTATGGAACGAAATCATAAACGATTATTACTATCCGTTTTCTCTTTAAAACTGCTTTAATGAACCTGTATTGATTTAAACCCGTATACAGCTATTTCAATAATGTTCAAAAGAGTTAGTGACCATTCAAGCTAAATGGGAATCATTTCAAAAGATTTCAATTAAGTTTTCACTAGGATGGCAAATGGAAGGCAAATCTCACTCGAGTTTTCCATTTAGATATGTAGATCGGTACTCAGTATTTGATAGTGTATATGCAATCAATTCTATATAAATCTGGACAGAATTCCGTATACATGGACAGATTTTTACTGAAAGGCATCTTATTATCACAAAAAGTCTATGTTAAAAGGATAAATATTCCTTTAACATTTATTTCAATAGCTTTTCTGATTTGAAAAATAAAATGAAATCGGGACCAATACGTAGTTATGAATGCCTATGCATTGTGTACCAATCAAAGTTTAAAAACCAGTCGTATATATCATAGTTGAATTTCGTTCTGGTCCTCAAAGTGCAAGTGGTCGGTATAAAAACATGGATCATGAATTCTTTTGAAATAATATATTAACGAGCATGTGACAATGTTAGCTGGTGTACAATCGTTCAGTTTGCTACGCTGCTAAGAGACTTTCATTTTACTATCATGCTTCGTCACGCTTTCCTTTAGTTAAGAAAAAAAAATGTAATCAGTCTTTGTTTGGATAGTGATCACAATATATATTGATTACAGTTTTTACAAAAAATTAAAACTTTATCAGAATGGATTTAAGACTTTTCAGCTGGGATATATTTTTCATCTCTTTTGGGAATTTATTTTTGTTATCGGGTAAGTACGATTTAAGCTTATGTTTGTATAAAGCAGTTTTTTTTTTATTAGGCTCAATTCACTTGATTAAATAAAAAAAATTAAGATTATTTAAAATAAACGAATTTCTCAGACGGTATTAAAAAGGGATTTTTTTTTTTAAATCCAGAGGTCTTCTTGTAACGAAAATAAAAAGTGTTGTGATTTCTTTATTTTTTTTTAAATTCTTAAATTGTGGTTAATCAAGATTTTAAAATTTTGTATTAAATTCATTGAAAGTATGTCTTGGGGATAGACTCGGGGCATATGTGTCCATATAAAGCCCCTGTCACACTGTCACGATTTAGAGCTACGATTCATTACGGATTCAAAATCGCAGCAAATCGGGGATCATCGTGGGTGTAGTCGTAGGATATCTTCCTTATTCGTGTTTAATCGCAGCAAATCGCAAAACTCGTCGTTTGTTTTGAGCATGTTCAAAACAATCGTTGACACAGCGCAATTTTCAATCGCACAACATTCGCACTGCACTTATACACAAATTCGTAGCAAATCTTCGACATTCGTGTGACTTTCGCGGAACTTCGTATAGTACTCGCGACACTGCGAGTGTCCTGCGAGTTAATGCGTGTGTCCTTCGAGTTACTGCGAGTATCCTACGAATCACTCAGAATCGATAGGAATATATTACGACTTTCCCGCGAATATGATACGAAAAAGGGCGATTGAAGGCAAGTGAAGTACGAGTTCTGTGTTTGTTTGTGTGTTGTTTAACGTCCCTCTCGAGAATTTTTCACTCATATGGAGGCATCACCACTTGCCGGTGGAGAGCTGCAAATTTTGACCTTTGCTTGGCACTTAGGGCGATGGAGCAGTGAGGGATCTTTTTCGTGCCAGCACGTACTGCGACAAGGGACCTCGGTTTATACGGTCTTATCAGAAGAACCGGTCTCCACGTCCCACAGTGGGATTCGAACCCGCGACGAGTACTGTGTGATTGAACTACGAGTTAATACGATGTAGGCAGATGTTGCCTGATATTAACCCTGTCGAAATTAAAATAACACCAAAAAAATAAAAGGAAAGAAGAAAAGTGAAATAAACTGAAAATCCATGTGTCACAGAACCTGTATAGACCGTGTTCAATAAATTCATGAAGAGATTGAACATTATAAATCAAAAGCTCCACATCGTGCCCTGATCGAGCAACATTAATATGATGTTTGATAATTTCAAACAACTCCCTCTATAGTCTTTATGCATTTCATAACACATATATTCGTATGAAATCGTCATTCGTCGTAGGAATATCGTGTATGTATCGTGCCATATCGCAGTTATTCGTTCGAGTATCGTATGTAACGCGTTTAATCATTCATAATCGTAGAAATATCGTAACCAGTCCATAATGCAGTCGCCTCAGTTCGTACTTAAATCATACAAACGTCGTACTTCGTCGAACAGACATCAAGACATACTGTTCCAGCAGCAAAAAATACCACTCGCTATGAAAAAATTGCAAGACTGAGCTAGCGAATGACAGCGATTTTTTAATACTAATTTATTAATTTTAATTGATAATTAATCTAAACTTTTAATAATTCGTGGGTAGTCATAGCATAAATCCTGACAGTGTGACAGGGCCTAAGTTACGACGTTCAAGTTTAATAAATGGTGCAATATATTGACTTCAAATTAAAAAAATTCAACGGAATTTATTTTAAAAAAAAACAAATCCATTGAATAAAATACTTTATGCATATTGATTGAAGTCGTGGATCCTGATAATTTATTTACATAGCCATAATGTGCTACATTGCAAATTATCAGATATTCGTCAATGAATCATTTCTTCGCTGTTTGAAAATGAAAATCGATATTGGTTGGGTGACACCAATTAAACAGATTGAATAGAGCTTGCAGTATTCATTTCTTTTATTAATTTTTTCCCTTATAATCTTTTAATCGAATGCATTGTATTTCTGAAGTGATTAATTACACTAGTTAACACTTGGCTTTCACTATCAGTTTAGCTTAATCATAGATATATGGGTACGTACCAGTTAATCATACCGTTTTTTAGTCTTTGTAAAAAAGCATTGGGCGTGCGTCATCATTTCTAAAGAGTTGTCGATTTCCACATTCATATCTTCTTTTTTTTTTTATATAAAGCACATATTAGATGTTACGCAAAATAACGACCTTTGAACCTTTACCATAAAAGCAGTCTTTATATTCATGACTAGGGACAAGGTTCTACGAAAATTCGTGACCTTTGAAACTTGGTCCCTTTTCAAGAAAATAACTGAACTGAATTTAATTAGAGTTGACGTGCGAACGTCATAAAGTCAGACACAAATACTTTCATGATGTAAAAAATATAATAAAAGAGCTACAAAATGCACTAAACATGTAATTATAAATAACAGAAAAATGAATAAAAACAGGCGCCATCACAGCAGATATGACCTTGTCAGTCATTACTTTACTTAAAAGAAAAAGGTCATGTTGAGGTCACAATAATGATCTATAATGAATGAAAACCATGTTGAAGGAAAAGTAAGAAAACCTTTTTGAAATGCATGTAATGAAACACTAAAATGTTTAAATAAAACTAAGAATATCGTATATGTGTAACAGAATGCACCAAAATGGTACCCATTTATAAAAAGAAATCCGACATATGGTAATGGTGCCCTCACAGACTTTCCTCTGCACTCCCTTTCAGAAACCGCTGAGGATAGTAAGGGGGGGGGGGGGGGACGTGAGCTAATCATTTGTCCACTATATATATTTCTATGTAGAAAAAAGTAGAGAAAAACGTGATATGAATGTTGATTGATATTCACATTTTTTTTAAAAATCATATATTTTTCTTTTATCATGATAAAAATAATACTAGTTGAAGGATTACGGGACTGACAATAGTTCCAAGTATTTCTAGACCTTTTGGACTGTGCTTATAGATGTCTTAGCACTATACAGTCTTTAACAAAGAATCATTAATCATATCGGTGTGTATATATATCTTTCAATTAAATTTGGCTTGTAAACAGACAACCACATAGAGTCACATCCATTTTAAATCTATCATATACCCTGTTTTGTTTGTTTTTGCTATATAGCAATTTTATTATGATGACGGGGGTTGGCTGTTTAATATAATCATTTTCCCCACTTTTTCTTGAATTACACAATTGTTGTCCATGGGTTTCGCAACAATATAGAAATTACGTAGAAACAGGTGGCAAAATTCGTTCCCTTTAGTTTAGAGAAAGCCTTTTCATGATTCTTTTTCATTAAATACACAAATAGACGAATACAATAAAGTGCATGTGATTTATTATTTCATTTCTAAAGCAGACTAATAATGTGCATATTATTTGCTTAATCTAAAGTTCTTTTTATTTGATTAAGTAGTAAGACAAAATGCAAACAGATTCCGGAGAAAATTACAGCATTTGTTCTTTAAACTAAGCAATAATCTCAGATCAAACTAGGGGAATATTGCTTTTCTTTTATCTAAATAATGAAACCATTGTATCCATGCAAAAGAATGACAAGTCCGTTTAAATCATGAAGAATGAAATACAAACAGTTTAACATGCATAGACGATTTCTAATACATTTGAACTTCGGTATCTCGAAAATCTATATCTCGAGTGCCATGGCTACTAGAATATCAAAGTGAGATGGAATGCCCAACTAATTTTTATGCCCCCGTAATCGAAGATTCAGGGGCATCTGTTTTTGCCCTGTCTGTCCGTCCGTCCGTCTGTCTGTCTGCAAAAACTTTAACCTTGCCCATAACTTTTGATTGTTTGGAGCTATGGCTTTCATATTTCACATGTGTATTCCTTGTGACAAGACCATTGTTTGGGTACCATCATCTTTGACCTTTTAATCTTGACCTTGGAGTTTGACCCAGTCTTGCAACATTTTACCCAACTTTAACCTTGGCCATAACTTTTGAACGTTGTTGCTAGGGCTTTCATACTTCACATGTGTAATTCTTGTGACAAGACCTTCCTTTTGATACCAACAACTTTGACCCTTTGACCTTGACCTAGGAAGTTGACTATTTTTGAACAACTTTAACCTTGGCCATAACTTTTGAACGGTTGGTGCTAATACCAACATTTTTTACCCTTTAACCTTGACCTTGGAGTTTGGCCTACTTTTTGAAAACTTTAACCTTGGCCATTACTTTTGAACAGTTGGTGCTAGGGCTTTCATACTTCACATGTGTATTTCTTGTAACAGGACCTTTCTTTGGCCCATTGACCTTGACCTTGGAGTTTGACCTACTTTTGGAAAATTTTAACCTTTGCCATTACTTTTGAACAGTTGTTGCTAGGGCTTTCATACTTCACATACGTAATCCTTGTTACAAGACCTTACTTTGGATACCAACAACTTTGACCCTTTGACTTTGGAGTTTGACCTACATTTGAAAAACTTTAACCTTGGCCATTACTTTTGAACGGTTGGTGCTAGGGCTTTCATATTTCCCATGGGTATTCTTGAGAGAAGGCCTTTCCTTGGGATATTAATTTTGACCTTGACCTTGATGTTTGACTTAATTTTGAAAAACTTTAACCTTTTCCATATCTTTTCAATGGTTGCTGCTAGAGCTTTCATATTTCTCAGGTATATTCCTCGAGACAAAATCTTACTTTGGGTACCAACATATTTGATTTGCATTTGAGAAAGTTTAACCTTTTACTATAAGTTGCCATACGGGGGCATCAGTGTTTTACAAACACATCTTGTTCTTCATGTATTTTATCCTTTATATCTCGAATCCTTTGATATCTAGTTTTTTCTCGACCCCATAAAGCTTGAGATAGCAAGATTTGACTGTATTTCAATGTATTTTCTACGAGACAATGCTTAATGAAAACAATTAAATCAAACACGATGACAACTAAGACTTGACCTGTATGCCAAGATATTTTTGCAAACTCTGATACTTTAAAGAAATAATAGTTAACACATTAAACGTGATGAATATTATACTATAATGCACATCTTATCCACTTATATTGCGGCAAACATTATCAAATACAGGAATGCTTTTAGGTATTTTAGAATTTAATGATTTATTTTTTACTATCAGTAAATCTTTAGGTAGCTCCAATTCTATACAAATTGATATACTTTGTACTTTTAAGGACCCTCTATACACTAAAGCTAAAATTTAATGTTTTTTGGACTTTGATGAAATTATATTCTATAAAAATGTAATTTTTGAGCTTATTTATTTCGTTTTCAAAATAGGGTACCTAGCATTTATCTCCAGGAAAAATGTTCAAAGACAACGAAGTATGGATAAACAGCAATTACTGCTGTTTACTTAAGTGGGAAAAATACAATGTACTTGCAAACAAAGTGTTCAGACCATTTATCTTGGTTAATTTAAATGCTTGGATTGATTACAAATTGAGTAATATATTGTAGATTTTTGATTTATTTGATATTAGATCTAAGTGCAGATTACACTAATTGCAACATATTACCATCAATTCAGAACTCTTTTGTGTGAAGTGTAGAGATTTTGAAAGTTTGATTTTTTTAGTCATATTTAAAATAAATCAATCTGTACAAATAAAGCCTCGTTGTTGATGATTCTTTAAGCATTTGAACATGAGGTGATCATAGGAGTCTTTCTGTACAATTTATTGAATATCTGATTTTGAAGTATAAATTTCGACTGCACTTTACATTTTTAAGGACGAGGAAGTTTAGTTCTGTCTTTAGATTTCAGTCATGAATGCATGATGTAACTTTACAGATTTCTGGTTATGAAGAATTAATTTTAATAAGCCCCACCCAGAGTTCTCCATGACTCTTTTTACGTTGTACAATACACCACCGTAATTATTTTCCGCTCTTCAGTAAAATAGCGGGACTGTAAAATTTAAAATTTTGGAAACAGTTAAGTACATGTATCTTGTCAATATCAGTGAAATAGTCCTGAAGATGTGTTATAAGTTGATACGAGTACATGCATTACCCAGGCTCTAATATTCTTAAACATTAAATTGTAAAAAGGAATTAACCTCAGTTAACAATATTTTTTTTGCTACGCCAAAGTTTTTACATGATGAATTATTTTTCCATTAGAATATAATGCTTTATACGACTTTTTGTATGTCCCCAACCCCTGCCTTTCACAGAGGTTCAAATGTTTAATTTCTTTCTGTTTCTTATGAACAAGGAGCCATCTACTGTCAATGATTGGCTTTAGTTCATGCTATAAAATATTAAATCAATATTGTAGGAATGTAGAAGTAATTTGTATATATTGTAAGTTTTAAATAAACGTATTCAAAATTTCAAATAGTCACATAAACATATACAAATCAATTAGGGGTCCCAGTGTGGCGTATACCCCGGAAGGTAAATAAATGATAAACGACTCTTTTCATTGCCAAAAGTGGTGACATTTGTTGGAACTCTGGTCTGTTTGGAAGACAGGGGTAATTATTCATGAAAAAATATAAAGGACTTGTGAATTGTATACAATTCGAACTTAGTTTTAAATTTTGCAGTAATTAACATTCAGTTTTTGACCTGATAAATTGACCAAAACCGTTCACATAATTACACTTCTACATGTAAAAACTAAAAACGCTGCATGCTGCTGACAGTCATTTAAGAAATAAACAACGTTAAAAAGTTCACTGGGAAATGAACTTGGTTGGTCACGTGATCAAATCCTGTGAAGCCCGAAGGTCATATACAATATTATCGGAACTAAACGGAAAAGCTATATAAACTTAAGTTAAGAATTGTAAATAAAAAAAGGTTCCGTTACCATCAGTTGCATCAAAATACAAAAAAAAAAATATTATTGTTATTATTTTTGTTTAGAAAATCTCAAAGCATGTATTTCATTTTTAAACTCCAGGGCATATTTTCTTGATATTAAGTGATTTCTACATAATAGCAATGATTAAGATACAATCCACATTTGGAGAAAACAAAAGCAGCAATTTGGCTAAATAGCCAAGCAACCATTTCCATTGTCATGTTCCCAGCCAAGGGGAGATAATAAAAATATGATGGAGTCAATCGCAAGGGACACTGAGACAGAAAAGTTGAAACTTAGGAACAAAAGATTTCCGACATAGTTAATTCAAATTTATTTGTTTTAAGCATATTGTCCTAGGAATAGGATGAGGCAAAAATAGGGAACATCTTTGAAAGAAATCTTTAAAAATCTTTTTCTCAAGAACACAAGGGTCATGATTGTTCAGATTCTCACGTTACGTCGTAGTGCTTCAAAAACATAAGTAAATGGTTATTATTTTATAAAATATAACAAGGATGCATATAAAAGCATGGCAACAAAAAATGTTTAAGTAATTTACACAAGTTATATTGCTTAACATTGCTTTTATTTTGGGCTTTAAACAATCAATGCTTAACAAACAAAATGCTTTTATTTCTCACAAGGTGGTAGAATAATTAAGCATATGATTATCAATTTTCGATTTTTCAGATTGTACATGTAACTACCCCACGGACCTCCAGAACGGAGTCTGGTATGACAGCAATAAAGGTCAGCTGACTTATACAACTAATCAAATGACAGGTTACACTTACTCATCTTACAATTCCGGAAGTTCAATATGGACCTGCTTTCTGATAGACGGCGACTACGTCGTGTCAAAGTATGCAAATTATAATCTGTCTAACTCGTTTATCCATGATTTTGAAATATTTTCATTTTCATTGCCATCTGATTTTAATGACAAATGATTATGTCCTAGATTGTTTGAAGTAAATTTTCCGGGATGTAAAAATATATAATAATAAATAGATGAATATGGCGTTTACGAATCGAGAATGTTTTATGAAACCAAGGTCTTTCCTTATTTTTGTAGCAATGTACCATTATCACCTTCTAATTGGATTTATGCCTCTCACTATTCTATGGAAGAACAATTTCTAAAACTATTCAGGGATACTGACAATAAATTGATGATACAAAGATAAAACATCGTCCCGGGGATAGATTGAGGCCTGAATTCATATTCCAATATGGTTTATATACCTAATACATAAGATTTGTGTCATAAAAACCTATGCGTGGCCATTTTTGGTGACCTTATATTTTGAAGTCGTTGCGCATATGATGTCAGCGTAAGAAATGAAGATTAAATTAATTAACTTTAAACATGTCGATTGCTAGCTAAATTTAAGCATAAAACTTTTTTACCTTTACTCTGCTAACGAGGCAAGTTATTGATAAACAAGTTAATGAAACAAGGATATCAACATTCTCGTTTGAAGTCATCATTTGGCAAATTTTATGGTCGATACAATGACCTTGTCAGCACATACAACCTACCATTGAGTCAAATTCTGACTGACGTTTTTCATACTAATTGTTAGGTTATCATTTAAACACTGAACTGTCTACGGATTTTTCCGTTTTTCTTCCCGACCATGACAAGGAGCACACGGCGGGTGTGACCGGTAGACAGGGGATGCTCACTCCTCCATGGCACCTGATCCCAACTCTAAATTTTGAGGTCCGTGTTTGCTCTGCTCCAAATTTGTATCGTTTCTTTCGAGTTCGTTATCTTCATATATACGTACAATGTGAAGACAAATAATTGGTGTTTACGAATTTTTTAGTAAGTTCTTATGTGTTAATGTGTCATTTTTGTCATGAACTAATTATAGTATTTCTGTTTTTAATATTTGTAATTTCAGAGCCAGCAGTCCAATAGATGTATTTGGTGCTAACTTTGATGCTTACATATGTCAGTTAATGACAAAAATAACAAGTTATTCCTATTCCTATTACATAGAGGGAGGTAATATTCTTTTCTTTCTCCTAGTCAAGAATACAAGATTATAAATAAATGATAATGTATTTTGAAATTATGATTTCGATTGCTTTTACAAGAATATATTGCTTTTGTGCTTAATGTTCCTAGATAACCAAGCGAATGCAAATGGTGAAAGAATGAACATTTTCATCACTGGAGCAGCTGTGACATTAGCTGAAGCATGTACGAAGTCGGCTTCTATTCCAACAGAAGAGTTTCATGTTCTTGTTAAGTCAAGTATGTATTGATCGAGCATGACAACATTGTTTTGAGAGGTACACTGAGATTAATCTGTTGTAAATGTGTTTTTACTAATTTTTAATTGTCACTTAGTGCATATGATTTATGCGCTCTTTCAATTTCTTTCTCAATCATTAGTTACCAAAAATAGCAATTGATCTTTATTGCATGGACCCTGAAGGTCCACGCAGAAAATATATAAGCGAGGTTAAACCGGATGCTATGGGGGAAGTGAGATTGCGCATGCCTCAGAATAATAAACAGTTCGCCCCTAGGACAGTTTTGCCCTCGTGGAATAAGAACTCGCCCATAATTGAAAACTCGCTTGTTTTGTGTACATTGTATTTATTTATTTTCAGCGTATTCAAAATCAGAATACTCTTATATACATATATCCTAATTTGTAAATAAGAAATATTCTTCTACTGATAATTATGGTAAAAATAATATTTACCAGCTAAGATCGGGGTTTCTACGGTACAAGCATTTCAAAAATTTAGAGATGTCCTCTTTCTTCAACAGAAATGTCTTCCCTATCAAAGTTGTATTTTGTGTGGATTTGTCTTGATGCTGTAGACATTATGTTATAATTCAGCTTTCTGTTGCCAGTCATTGTATTGTTTTCTTGACTATATGCCAACATGATGATCAATAAATTGAATTGAATTGAAAAATGATAAAGATTTCATATGGCTTAACGGCTTGAATTAAAAACTTAATTCGACAATTTAACTGGAAAAGATAGGACATACCTCCAGTTTGTGAATCCAGGCCGCCCGTATTAAGCAATTTCAGTGGGGAGGGGGGGGGGGGCAAAATAACAGAAATTCTTAACAAGCGAAAAACATAAGGTCATCAGACATTTCTTGAGGGGACACGACCGTAAGTTTCTATTGTATAGTTTTTACTGGCAAAATTATTAAGAGGGCACAACTGTTAATAAGAGTTCTTGTCTATAGTAAAATATATACTGGCAAAATGATGACCCTCTCCTGGTCCATATTGCAGTCCTTTTTGAAGGACAGTAACTTGTACATATTTATAATTCACAGATTAAAGGTTGAGGCCAAACCAATAAGAACTTTACTTGAACTAATATTCCCTTTATGATTAGGCCTGACGTCCTTCTTGAATCTACTATTCTCTCACTCACTGAATTCATGTCGGAAAAAGATTCTTATTTACATTTTATTCAAATTTATATAAGGTATTTGTATCCCTCTGCCTTTAAGATACACTGTTGTGCAACTGTTTTTATTTTCTTCCAGCAAATATGGCAGACGTCAAACAATGGCTGCCAACACCGTTGCTAGGCACATTTGAGTACACAAAAGTAACTTCTGCTGGTGTCTCCTCCTGTGGTACAGGATCTGTCTGGGACGTCTGCAATAACCGTACCACTATGACTTTCAACATGACACAGTGCAATTCAGTGGTTGCCTATTCTCGTGAGTTTTCCATATACATATATACATATTCATGTATATATTAACGTTGGGCTCGTATTTTGATGTATTTCAAAATCAAAGAAATCCCTCAGTAATGAATTATTTTCCCAGATCTAGAGTCCGTATGGACAGGGCAGTTTGGGCTCATGACAATAATGCTGTAGACTCAACACTTATCTATCTGTGTAAAACTGTACTCTTTTGGAAATCTCTTTTGAAAAAAATCATGCTATTTCTCTAGAGTATTTGAAATATGCGAAAATCTTAGGCATGTATATGTCTTTAAGTCTTGGAACAAAGACCTTGACTTTAGGTGAATGTAAGCTAAAGAAAGAGTCAAAATTTAAGCCAGAATTCGAACAAAATGTTAAAAAGAAATAAAGAAAGCCAAATCTATTTCACAACATTTGATCTGAAAGCTAATATGCACAGCTAAGTAATGGCAGTTCCAATTCAACTGCAACAATTTAATTATATTCTCAGAGGGAGAAGTTTATGGAGTGACATCTGTGACAAAAGGATCTACGTACTACGCCCTAGTAGTGAATCCAGGCACTGCCGATGACTCTACATATTTCCGTTTCACGTGTATGGTAACTATCAGTTTCCCAAGCTTATGTAAAAGGTGACAAAGGTCAGTTTTGATTATCATGTTTATGTAAAATATTAAACAATATTGCATTTTCTACTTAACTAAGATAAACGAATATGTTGAGCGATGGAGGGAAGTGCGAAACTTATAGTTTGATATGAGAGGCATCAATAAACAAGAAAAAGGTCTTATATTTTTTAAAAAAAAAATATCTTTAAAATCCGTCACAATTAATTCAAGGCTGTTACACAATCTGGAACCACTGTGACAGTGGTAGAAAAGAGCGGAAGTTGTGGGCCTGGACAAAATACCACATTGGCTGGAACCGGGGGCTCTAAATACACGATGACGCCATATGGTAAGGATAAATACTAATTTTGCTAATATTTATATAATGTAAATAATTTTTAACGGTGAAAACTGTAATTTATTTATTGAACAAAAATGATATTTTGCCAGTGTGAAAGAATATCAGAAATGCTGCAAAAAAGCTCGATTTTCCTTCCCTTCAATAAAATACTCCCTGGCCTGTTATAAGATAGGGAGGGTAAATAAACCATCCTGACAAAGACTTAAAACTGACCAAATTTCTCCAAATATGTTGTTGAAATCAATGTTTACAATATTTTCAATTTCACAATCGCTAAGCTGTGACGTCTCAACCGCTCAACTATGACCTCACAGTCTATGAAACGGGAAAATCAAAGAAAGGTGATAAACAGAAAATTCAATATTTTGTAATTGAATATGGAATCCATTTCACTTGTGAGTCAGGATTTTTTATATTTTCATTCATGCTTAGCACTTAATTGTGGAAATATCAAAAAATCCTGGCCCACTCGTGAAATATATTCCATACCGAACTACAGTGTACCAAACATTAGATATTCTCTACATGTGTAATATTTCCATCAAATATTAAGTTTCAGAAAGAATGTGGAGTTGTTTTAGAAGAAAAAATTGGAGAATGCAAAATTAATAAATGGTTACATGAAGAATAGATAACGTGTTTTGTTGGAGTTAAATTCAGTCTTTTAAGGTCAATTTAAACTTACTAGTAATTTGGTATATTTGTGTTATCGATTCATTAAAAAAAAGATTCCTGCAAGTAACGTATAATGGCGTATTTATAATTTAAAATGATTTATAAAATTAAATAATTATTCGTTTATCTGGCTAATACCATCACCAACATATGTGAAAAAAATCTAAAGGTATAGCGCATTTTAACTGCGTGCTGCATTAAATTTTATGATAATAGACACAAGAGGCTATAATTAACCTGAGAACACGAGAATGAGGTCACTCAGAATTTATTTCCCACGATTTCAAATAAAAGACAAAATTTGATTTAATTTGAAGCCCTGATTACCCAAAATTACTTGCATTGCTTAATGTAAGAATGCATTATTACTCATGTTAATCTAAGGATTCTGTATAATTATATGTGTCTCGGGAAATTCTTAATTATGTTTTTTTTTTCGTTGTAGTAACCTGTCGTAAGTATGATTACGATATTTGAAATTCTTAAATGTGAACACAGACATACTCGTATATCTGTTCTTTAATTATCGAAAATATATTTTATAGAGAGTATTACGTACTAAAATCCATATCATATGTCATATGAGCCAAAGTGGGCCCTTATCAGCACGAGGGCCGAAGAAAATTATCTCAATCAAATAAAAAAAAATAATAAATATCAAATTTTCTGACAAACATACCAATGAAAATTAAATAATGCAAATAAAGATAATTTAAAACATGGTCAAGTAAATAGTGCAAGCTTTAAGAGGGCTTGGGGAGTTGTGTCCATTTTCAGACTATATTGATTTCCTTTAGAAGAAGAGCTCCATATAAGGATATTCAAAAATGATCATATTTTAAAACTAAAATGTATGAAATTTTTCTTTACCAAATGATAGTTGACAGCTTAAGATATCATATCTAAAAAAAATTAAGTTATATTTGATGGTTAATTTGTTGACCCTCCAGCCTCCTTAAGTTGTATTCACAATAAAAATTTATCTTTCATAGCATTTACCACTGACAGCCCAGCAGAGTCCAGCAGCAACATTGGTATAATCGTTGGAATCGTAATAGTTTTACTTATTGTCATAGCGGCTGCTGTAGCAGGATTTATAATTTATAAGAAGAAGAAAAAGCAGATCCATACATATGACAAACAGATGGAGGAGAACGCTAATGACCGTAAGATCTGACTTCGGTTTTTTCCCCAAATGATCTTCAGCCGCTATTTTTTGTTTGTTTTGAAATATTTTTTTTAGGGATGTCAACGAATAGTCGACTATTCGACCATCAGTCGAATGGACCGACGATCGAATAACGAAACGACATTCGAATAAATAAATTCAATAAAAGAGTGATAAAGAGTTGGAATTCTCATCCTAAAATTGAGAAACCGTCTTCCCTCAGACACAGTCAATAAAATTATTTTCCTCATTAAAAACTGCTGACTTTACATGTAGAAAGTACAGTGATTAGAAACGCTTCACTTCCGCGTGAATTATTGTCAATTAATGTTTTGTTTTCATAATAAAATTATCTCGCCATACTGCGCTTTCTTTGTAAAACTATTAATTGGACTTGATCTCATACCATGTACCCATAAAAGCCGTGACATGTTTGGACACTACGATAATTATTATAAAATTAATATTCTTTTACATATTTTAAAGACATTTTGATAATTGGTACAAAAAGTATATTCAAATATTTAACATTATCAAGGTCACCGTATGTGCCCCCCCCCCCCATCATTTTAATAAGCTTTAAAAAAATATATCACACAGTCATTATTTATGCTTCCTAAAAAACCGACTTTACAGACCAATTTATGAACATGATTGACGGTGAAATCCTACATTTTGGAGAAATTAACGGTCTATATTAAGTAAATATAAACACGCTATCCACATTTTAAGTCCATGTGAACATCTGTGTGTAACATTTTATGTAACTTTTTAATCAATTTAAAAAAAAGGGGGGATTTGGGATTTGATATGTGATGTACCATTGAAGTTTGAAATAAAATTTTAGTTTCCGAAAAAGTTTCGAATATATTCGACTGTCGTTCGAAAAATGCAATCGAATATTCGACTAAAGAAAATAAATATTTTGACATCCCTAATTTTTTTTTTTATTTCTTGGATAATTGATTGTATTTAAAAACGAAAAGCGATTAGTGCATATTGTGTTAACATCAATGGAAGTTTGAAAACTTATCGTCACGCGTGTTCTATGTTGTTATATCGTGCTGCATTGCTAGTTTGAAAGTTCTGTAAAGGAACTTTTCTATCTCATAACTATTTTTTTTTTTTGTGTGTCTGAATTCCAAGTGTCATACATTTCTTTTCTTAATAGAGCAATCTTTCCTTGAAATATACTCTGTCATTTTGATTACTTATTTTTTTGTTGTCCAAAATATGATTATTGTGTTCCTTTCTCAGTCAAGGACAAAAGTTGATGCAGGTGCGTTGTAAATGGTATGGTGTTTGAACTTCTTTTTTTAATAACTGAGAGTAGAAAACGTAACCCCGCTATTTTCTATACACCAATATTTAACAACATTACAATTTTGTTTCGATCTAAAGGGTAAAGGGATTAATTTACAATACACTATTGATTATTTGACTTCCATGCATTTTTTTCAGCCATTACAAAGAGACGTCAAAACTGTTAACATACGGGGGCTGTCTGTTAAAATTGAGGACAACGCGTTTCAATGAAAATATAAAGCTTCCAATAAGCTGGCATTTCCAGTAATTTAATCCTTTATTTTATTATTTTCTTTTTAAAATAAAAATTCAATGAAAGGACTGTATAGCCAGAATGGGTTAAACTTTCTCTTTTCAGTTTTTCTTAATTTTTTCTAATAAGGTTTACAAATTAATTTTGAACGTTTAGAATCAAATTTTATGCATAATAACAAGCAGAGAATTTTCCGTAAGTAACTTATCAAATATTGATTTCACAGACGTATCCTAGTTTTCAATCCTACATGTAATTACATGTCCGAGTTTCTAAAAGAAACTGACCAGCATGAAAATTTACATGTATGTAATTTGTGTAAGATATGCAGAAGCTTTTTTCCATTATGTTACGTTACTTTGCTATAATTTATAGTTTCAGTATCCAAGCCACCATTGTATAGGTTTGAATCAAAACTAGTTTCACTTGTGTCCGTCTCTGAACTTTCAAGTGCATGCTTTATTGACTGAGATCAAAATATTTATAAAGTACAGCATATATGCATTGTATAAATGCTGTATATCAAGGCATTTGATGACATAATTTTGTTCTTTTTATCAAACAGTCAATTAGTATCTTACAGTAAGTAGCACATTTTACAAGGTCTTTCAAAGAATTTTGAAATGAGATGAAATTTCTCAATGCTTACAGCCTCTTGCATATGAGATTAAAAATGTGTCCTCGTCTTTTTTCTAGTATTATATATTCAGAAATAAAGCTTGTAGACGTCATTTGAGTAGGATTAGAGTAAATGTGAAGTGAAATTGGATTGAAAACCTCCCATATTTTCAAAAAAGTTTTTTTCTCAACGTAACCTAATCAACACTTTAACGGTTTCAACTCTTTATTGTGTTTTTGTTACGTTCTTGTATGAAAATGTTTTTTGAAATCAGTAGATATTTTGATCTCTTCCTTTTTAACAGCACCTGCAAAATGATTGCCACAATTCAAAAGCTTAGAGGCGATAAGCTTATTTCTGGCCTTGTGACACAACTAAAAGTGTAGAGTAAAGAATGTGTCATGTTGAGTTAGCTTAATAGCCCTTTAATCATTTAATTCAATGCATGCATAAACCTTATTCATTCTGTATTCAAGAAATACGTGTGAAGTAGTTTTCTTTCCATGTATAAGATTGTGGGTGTTTTCTGGATCCGAAACTTTAAGTAGTATAATTGTTCTCCACTTCAAATGCAATTGAAAATTTGAATATATCCTTCTTTAAATTGCAATTATTGAAATACTTAAAGCTGCAAAACTGATTTATTAGACTTTACAAAGCAAACATAAGCTTTCGACATATCAATATCTGGCTATATATGTGTATTTGTTCCTATTGTTATGTTTGTTGGAATGTCCGATTTCTTTTCTTTTTAATATTTGTTTAACCATTATTCGATTTAAAGATACCAGATCTTTAACAAAATACCTTATTTATCGTTTCCACAAAAGACAAAATATTGACCTTCTTTTCTTAAGTAGTATTTTTATGAGATATGTCAAGCAGAAATTCTTTTTTCTTTTTCTTTTGTTCTTCACGTTTCGTTTAATGATGTAATAACTAAATATGAGAATGAAACATGATTCTTTAATTCATTTAAACGCTTCAAAGGGTGCATTTACAGATTTATTTAGATATCATTCGACGATTTAATTTGAGAGGAGATAAATCAGTTGATAATAACAGTTGAATGAGTACAATCTTATTAATGGAACATTAGAAAAAAAAAAAACAAAACAAAAAAAAAACAACAAACAAACAAACAAAAAACAACAACAACAACAAACTTTGGTATAACAGTTTTACAAAAGTATTATAAAATTGTATGTTGATATTTCAGCGGGATACCTGCATAGAGGTTATACAAACCTACCAGACAGTACAACAGGTTTAACAACTAATTCAGGTGTAAATCAACCAGACTCCAATGGAAAACCAGCGATTTCCAATTGATAGGATGGAAAACGACGTTCTCCACAGTCATTGGATGATGACTCTTGTCGGAAAGATTCTCTTCCATAAAAAAAATCATCTCTTGCGAACAGTTGAATTTTTAGGATTTGTTCAATGTCATGATTTAAAATAAATAAAATAAGTACCCTGTTATATCTTAGATGAGAATAAACAATGTATGGTGTGTGTTCAGTATTTGCATTTTAGCTTCTAAAAGTGACTAGATTTATTCGCAGAAACCAAATATTTGTAAAGCCCTCTGGCCTCAGAGGGGTTTTTTTTTGGGGGGGGGGGGGCACACGTGTTTTCTTCAATGAAATCTTACGTTGATCCTGTGTTGAATTCTGCTCTTTAAAAAGGTACAGAAATATATATATATTCCCATTATGCAGTATTACATTTAACTTATTATGTCTTTCACGATTAAAATGAACATTCTGGTTATTTCCAGAATTTATAAAGAGTTCTTTATTATTTCATTTTTTTTAAATTGTGTGTATTTTATACATTTTTAAATTTTAATTTATCAATGATTGTTTGTATTGATATACTTGAGTGAACGTTTTTTTTTTTATTTATTTACAGTGTTGCAATGTTTTTATTCATGTGTGCCAATCACTTGTACTTATCCCTATATTCGGAAATACACGTGTTAGAATATTCATGAAAGAATCCTTAAATGCATATACCATTACATGTGATAAATCTTCAAACGATCATAACGCGAAGGAACGAAGTATAGAGGGCTAGTAGTTTTACCAATCCATCGAAATTGGTACGTTTCATTACCGTATACGTTCGAAAAACTAGTAAAAAAAGACGGTGATTGGTTTTACAGTGATGAGACTATTAAGTATGACTGTTGATTTGCTCATTTTTTTTTTATCATTTTAATACTTGTAGGACTTCTTCTGCGCACTTGAACTGATATGTGATGTGTTTCAATTGACACTTATATTAAGACAGTGATAAAACCTTTAGGTGGCAGAGGATCATTTCGGATAAAGTACCGCTCAAAAATTAGGAAAAAATAGAGAAACCTAAGCTTTGAATGCATATTTTAGGCGATGTTATTGCTAGAATATATTATGTGTACATTTGGATGGATGTTGTGGCATTATGTATTTTATTGATATATGACACTTTAGTGTTGCATCGGGATTTCCTCAGAAAAGCGGGGTGGGTTCATAGGATGAAGAGGTTCAGTGGTATGTGCAGGCGTTGGTCTGCATTTTGTGGGGTAGCACAGGCCTGGAAGCTGTTGCGGATCTGGCGAAATAGTGAAAATAGGCTAAATTTTCATGAGATTTTGAGACTGTCCCTGTGCCATTATTTGGGCTCAATGTGCATGTTGTACATGTTTTTTTTTATTCCTAAAAGCTTCAAATTCCTCAAGGGACAAGAACATGCTATTGTTACATGTAGACAGAATTTACAATTTTCCAATACACATTTTACAAGCAGCTCAAGATTAAGGAAAATGTCAGCCAAACGTTTTGATTGCCAAAAAAACCCTGTCCTCTGCCACCTTAGAACTGAAAATGTAAGCCCAGTAAGCTATTTGATGTCGATTATTAGAGCTTGTTTAAGTCGAAATTTACAGGAAAAATATTTCTGATAGTTTAAAATGATGGACTGTTATTTCTAAAAATGATGGCGAGATCAAGTGTGAATTCTTCCTTTGTTTGCAGATATTTCCCATATCTCTTTATTGCCAAGAGTAACTTTGGGCAAGAAATATTTTTAATTCCGTTGAGAGCTGGGGAATCTTGTATTACCAACACTTATTCAGCTGTTGTATGTTATTAATAATAAACAAAGATAAAGTTTTACTGTCTGTAAAGGAGACTTACTTTTACAACAGCTTTTCTTTAATTAATGAACATATAACACTAGTACATGTGTGAAGATATTTCATTTTGCAAAAGCTGGTAATCTTTAGTATGCACAGATTATGTATCAACTACAGGTTTGAATTTTTACATGTAGTTTTAAAGATGTAGATACAATCAAATTGCAACATACGGGTTAAGCAGAATTTACCATTTGATGTAATGTAAATCTGAGCATGCTTTGATATGTTTCATCTAAAACAAATGAAAGTGTAGTCTATTGGGACTGAAAAAACTTGAAATTATTTCTTCTGATTTTTAAGACTTTTCCCCTCAGTTTAATCTGTTTGTAGAATTCACTTCATATATTGAACGCACAACTGCAATCACTCCAGAAATTATTCTGTTAAAATATACCTTTTGTTAACAACCCCAGTAGTGTTTAACTGAGATGAAATAGTCTAATACAATGTATATACTGTGTTGTGTTACTGTGTGATGTGGACTGCATTTGCCTTTGTTGTTTAACAAAGAAATTGTGTTACTCTGGTCCATAATAAAGCAACTCATGGTCGACATGGCATTATTATTAGAAAGTAAAATATACTGCATTAAATTTGTTTGATATATTTCTTTGTTTTCTTTGGAAACAATTGGACAAAAATAGATGTATGAAATATGAATAGTGAAATATTTTATTACTGTAAAATCACTTATTTTTGTCGGTCAAATTTTCGTGGATTGAGAAAAAATATTGGTTCGAGAGGATATATACAATTTTACCATTCATAGGGGACCTGAATTTGTGGGTCCCTTCATACCACGAAAAAAAACTTAAAAATTAGTGATTTCACCATATCTTGGGGGTAACGGTATTCAGAAATGCAAAATTACTAAATAATTTACAAATCTGACATTATATTTAATGTGTTTTTTGCCTTTTCCTAAAGTGATTTTGAAATAGTTTCGTATAACGTAAACATATATCCAGAACTTTATAATCTGAATCTCAGTTTTCGAAATGCATCATTAATTAATGTTTGTTAAATAATAATCAAAATGCTGAATATTCAAGAGAATACTATTGTGACTTTAAACCATCTAATATTTATGTATCGGAAGCATAATTTCAATAGTATTCAAATATACTTTGTTACAAAATCCAAGGGTAAATCAAAGAAAGTGACAAGGAATACTGATAAAATGAGTTCTGAATTTGATAAATGAAATGTATGCATGTAAAGGAGGAACCGTCCTGCTCATTTCATTAGATAAATGATTTTTCACATTGTTTTGAAAGTGGCATTGCTTACTTGGAAATATCTCTAATATAAAAATAAAGCAACAAGGTGGTACAATGAATTCGTTGTGATAAATGCTGACCTTTCTTGCTGTTGATATTTGTATACTTGTTATTTTAAAAATAATAATTCTTGAATAATGTTTTAATAAGGGTACTAAGAATTTTTTTCTACAATTACACCTGCAGTCTTCAGGTAATGGCCTGTCGTTCATTGAGGCCCTCTTTTTGAGAGGCGCAATATTCTAAGACACTGTCATGATGATAGAACGCCTGGACATCTAGGAGTTCACAAAACGTTGGCTCGAGTTCGACAAAGATATTATTGGCCAGGCTTACAACAGGATGTAAGGCAATGTGTTACAGGATGTGATACTTGCACTATGCGCAAAAATCCTAATAAGGAGAAGGTGTCACCCATGGAAATCGTACTCTCGCCAATGGACCGCATAGCAATTTATATCTTTGGTGAGTTGCCCATAACAGAGGATGGGAACAGATACATTTTGGTAATCTCTGACTATTTCACAAAATGAACAGAGGCATTCCCAGTGCCAAACATGGAGACTAAAACTATAGCAAAATTGATATAGTAGAAGATGTACATAGTTGCAAGGTTCGGGACACCCAGAATAATCCATTCAGACCAGGATAGACAATATGAAAGTGAGCTCTTTACAGAGATGTGTAGGCTTCTGAATATACAAAAGACAGGAACCACACCTTACAACTCACAGTCTGATGTGATGGTAGAGAGGTTCAACAGAACCTTAAAAGCAATGCTAAGTGCCTACGTGCAAGAAAATCAAAGAGATTGGGATAGACATATTCCGTATATCATGATGGCATACAGATCGGTGGAACATAATTCCACGGGGTTCACACCCAACATGCTTATGGTTGGCAGGGAAACATCGCTTCCCGTAGACCTGGTGTATGAGTTGCCTAAGACTATGAAAGAGGAAAGTCCTTACCTTTTGGCTTGGACGCTTCGTGAGAAATTAGAAAGAGCACACAGTTTCGTGCGACTGTAATGAACAAACAGAAGAGGTACCATGATAGAAATTGTCATGGGAAAGGTTTAAGCCTGGAGATAAAGTTTTTATCTACTTTCCACAGAAAAAGATCGGCTGTTCTCCAAATCTTACCTCGTTTTGGCGCGGACCATATGAAGTGCTGGAACAATGGTCTGATGTGCTATGTGCAGTTTCGTATGGCAGAAAAGGGGAAAAACAAATTATCCACTGCATGCGACAGAATGTGTAAAAAGAGCTGTGACTTTTTTTTTTTTATTATATTATCCATAGGTTTTGAAAATATTCACAAATAATGTGTTTTATTTTCGTAAATAATTTTTTAGTAAAAAAAAATTAAAATGCCCAGCTTGCTCTTGTTTTCATATTTTATTAGATATTTATTTTATGCATGTATCAATAGGAAATTTTTAACTCTAAAACGTCTTATTTATGGAATTCCATATACGACAGCCAACTGCTTACTGCCAACTGCTCACTGCTTACTGCCAACTGCGCACTGCTTACTGCCAACTGCTCACTGCCAATTGCCACTGTATATACATGATATTGCCTATTTTTTATCTTAATATCTTGGGGGGGGGGCATATGTTTACAGACTAAAAATAGAAAATAGTCATTTTATTACCAATTTCAATTGAGGAAACAAATTTAAAAAATGCAATTTATCAATCTGATATGTTGAATTTTACATAAGTTAAACATACGGAGATACAAAGTATTTATAAGAGTCACAAATCCATTTCCATGTGTATTTGAAAATCTGGTGATGTTTTAATGCCCGATTTCAATTGATAAAATTTTCTACCCCCTTATGAAAGGAGTTGTAAATAAGAACAATTAATTTTTTGACATTGGTTTTTAAAATCATTAATCAATTACTTA